GGCTCCTTTAAAAGGGTAATGAAACGAGATCTGCTCATTGCTCAATCGATTGGTTTCCTAGATTTAATTGTATTGTCACCACAGTCACGTACGTGCAGTGAGTATTACTTGTATATAACATATGCCAGTAATGTATTGCCTTCTATATACTACTGCTCTCACCACTACTACTTCATCTTGTAGGGCCACTACTACTTACACTGCCACAGGTATGCTGAGATGAGTTTCCAGAAGTCTCTTAGATGCTGTTGTATTGGGGACAACCTGAAAATATTTGTTCCCCGTGAGTTAGCGCAACTGTTGTAACGAAGTGATATTTTTGTGTCTCCCTTCCTCTCCCTTACATCCATCCTCGTTATCCTCCCTCACCCACCCCCCCTCCACACTCCAACACATTCTCCTTCAAACTCTTCAATCATTGCAATGCACGTTCATGCAAACTCACAACACCACAAACAAAACTCACAACACCAAAAACAATACTCACAACACCAAACAAAACTCACAACACCAAACAAAACTCACAACACCACAAACAAAACTCACAACACCAAACAATTCACAACACCAAAAACAAAACTCACAACACCAAACAAAGAGCTGAGTATCATGTATACCGTATCATGTCTGCACTATATGAGCACTCAAACTTGACCCACTTCAGTGGCCATTAAAGAATAATCAATCAATTTTCAAGCCTACACATTAAAGAGTAGAAGCAGTTCCAACCCTTCAAGATGTTAAGTTTGTGTCTTACTTTTTTACACAATAAAGCTTAATTGAGATTTCAGATTCAGCTGTGCGGCTGTTGGGACACGGTTTTTAAAAATAAAGCTCACCAGTAATGTAGGGTATGGTCCTTGTAGAAATAATAACGTAACGTAGAACAAATTAAGAGTCAACTGTCAATTTCTGAATCTATTCCTAAATATCAATCAATCCCAGCTACATTTGAGGATCGCCAATTATTCAAAAATCATGTTTTTCTCATAGTTCTGTCGAAGAACGCTGATTATATGATATTCAGGCATCAGTCTCAACTACAGAAGTTGATTAACATGACTTAAACGATTTAACATTCAGAAGCGACGTACGTGTGACTTCTGGATGTTAAGCCTGAGAAGTGTCTCAAAGTTAGCTTGCAATGGTTTAAGGCCCTTTGATTGAACAACCATATATTCTATCATATTTTAGTTTAAAGGTAAAAACTAAAATAGGATAGAAAATATGGTTACTTTGGTTGCTTTGGCAACAACAAGAACGAGGAGCAGTTTAAACACAGAGGCTAGTAGCAAACTTGAGAATCATATTTATTATGTTTGCACCAGGTGACTATTCCAACTTGAAGAATAATCATTCATTTGTCATACAAAGAATCTAAACAATCTAGACAATAGGTGGACAATCAGGCTTACAGAATGGACCCCAAGGTATGGACAAAGAAAAAGAGGAAGGCCGGTCAAACGATGGAGGGATGAATTAGATAACTACTGGAAGTCTTAGAAGAAGAAACCTGCTCAGAAGCGGGGGCATAAAGTACTCGGTCGGGGGGGAAAGAAGGGGGAAAAAGGGGGGAAAAGAAGGGGGAAAGAGGGGGAAAGGGAAAAGAAACTAACACTGGTTCAAGTCCAAGCAATGCAATTCTTTTTTTTTCTTTTAATTTCTAATTTTTTTCGATTTTTTTCTGTTTTTAATACACATCATTTATAAATATTTATCAAGATTAAAAGAATTTTATATAAAAAATCCAAATACATACATACAAAGAAAAAAATAGAGATATGATTAATGCACCTTTTTTTAATCTTTTTTCTTTCACTTTTGAAATTTCTCAATTTTTTTGTTTAATATGTATTATTTATAAATTTTTACCGAGATTAAAAAAATTAGATATAAAAAATCCAAATACGAACATAAATACAAAGAAAAAATAGAGATATGATTAATGCATTTTTATCCTAGAATGCAGCATTTTTTTCCTTTCAATTTTGAAATTTCTGGATTTTTTTCTGTATTTAATACACATTATTTGTAAATTTTTTCCAAGATTAAAAAAAAAATTAGGTCATATTTCTAGATTTCTACTAATTTTTTAAGGGATTCTGGTTTTAATAATTTTTAAGGACTGAGGATAGGGATAATACCATGCATTCATAGAAAAAGAGATGTTAATAAAATTTGTTTTCTTAATTATTTCTGATTGCTTTTCTGTATTTTAGGACATCATTCCTGAGGATTTTCTAGAAATAAAATTAAAAGAATAAATCTAGTCATGAATATAAAAAACAGAGACATGGATAATTTATATATTGTTATTATTTTTAACTTACAAAACCCCATTCAATATAAGTATCAATTTACATGACATTTAATCAACACAACTTAAAAAAATCCTAAACATAACAGCAGTAGATTTGTTATTATTTCTTACTTACAAAAATCCATTCAATATAAGTATCAATTTACATGACATTTAATCAACACAACTTAAAAAAAAACTAAACATGACAGCAGTAGTGCCGTTATTATTTCTAACTTACAAAAACCCATTAAATAAAAGTATAAATTTACATGACATTTAATCAACACAACTTAAAAAAACTAATTATGACAGCAGCAGAGTTGCGAATCATCTTCTCAATTTCACAGAGATGATGTGCATCATGTTGAATGATTATGATAAACAAAGGAGTCCTTGGCCATACCTAGAACAACAGTCTGTCCTGTCTGGAAGATGGACAAGTTTTATTACATTTCAGAAGTTTTCTGGGTGCAGGGGTACCTGCCGCTTCTCCTGCCATAAACAGAATCCTGGAAGGAATATGTATAAAACTATGTGCAAATTACAGAAACCCTAGGAAGAGGGGGATGTTACTGGATGGAACAAGGTCACCTACACCTTAATCAGCCAGGCAGTCCTGGACAAAAGTACAGAAACCCTAGAATAAATCCATTTGAGTATCAATTTACCTGAACTTTAATTTAATTAACTTAAAAAAACCCTTAAGATGACAGCAGTAGAGCTGTTATTATTTCTAAGTTACAAAAATCCAAGTATCAAATTAAATGGCATCTAATCAACACAACTTTAAGAAAAATAACTAAACCTAAATCTGACAGCAGTAGACAAACAATTTTCAACAATTTTTATTTATTTATATTTTTTAAAAGCACTGTTTTGTTTCATTTTTTTTCTTTTTTTTCATTAATTTTTTGGTACCAGGAGGTAGACTTGGGCACAGCAAAAGATGGTTGAATACTGAAGGGCATGGCACTCCCTTTTTTTGCCCTGGTTGAGGTGACCTCCTGGCCAGCTCTGTTTTCTTCCAGAGATACTCCCATCTCCACCAGGCCATGCAGGAGGGAGGGTTGCACTGGCTTGGGGCGTGCCTCTGGGAGATCTGGTGCGGTTGAGAGCTTGGCCCCAGGGAGAGTGGCACCGAGTAACAGCTGTGTCACATCTTGACGTCTCTCCCTTTGGTGATACCTGAAGCCAGTAAACAGTCATATGTTCAATTGACAATTGCAACCATTTTTTTCAGTTTGTTTCAATATCAATGCAAACCTCACTATTTCTGTATGGTACTCAATGGAATTGTAATAAGAAGTTTTCCTACATACATATTTAACATTTATTTCTAAATTTTTGATGTCATTCCTAAAACCTTTTGATCCAGATAAACAGCACAGCAAAATTATATTTTCTGTATCATCATAACCAATAAAAACAAAATTCATAGGACAGAGAGGTATTTTTGCTATAAGTAAAACTTGCAGATATATCTTTTCGTGTGAATGTAGAAAACAAAATAGATCCAATTTATTGAAAAACTACATGATCCAATAAATAGTTTGCACATAGATTCAGTATCATTTTGATCAAGATAATCAGCTCATTTCCTTATATCGTTTCCTTCCATATGACAGCCCTAACAATAAGTACAAATTTAAAGCTTATTACACTTCATGCTTTAGATAAAGTCCACGTCTAAAAGAGACAAAATCAAGTTAAATTGGTAAACCTAACACTCACCAAGAACGTAAGGTGGCATTGTTGATGGGCGGCAGCACTAAATTGGTGCGCTCCATTAGGTGACCATTGCCCAGGACTGCCTGGCTGATTAAGGTGTAGGTGTCTACGACCTTATTCCATCCAGTAACATGCCCTCTCTTCCTAGGTTTTCTAAACTTGGCACATAGTTTTATACAAAGTCCCTCGACAATTCTGTTGATGGCAGGAGAAGCCGCAGGTACCCCTGCACCCAGAAAACTTCTGAAATGTAATAAAACTTGTCCATCACATTTTGAAGATGGCCATGATTATTCTTCATCCAACAGGCTGGAAACATTTTTTTTTTACAATTCTATGAGTTCTATACTAAGACCTTGTTATTGTGGTTGCTATAGATTATTTTCCAAAAAGTTATGAAAGTTTACCTTCTTGTTCTCTCCACATCTGGAGACACAGTGGATTTGGACTTCCCCTTTTTGAATCTTCCAGACAGGGCAGACTGTTGTTCTATGTATGGCCGAGGAGTCCTTTGTTTATCATAATCATCCAGGTCATCATACAACATGATGCACATCATTACATCATCAGGGGTGAGAGACATCTCTGTGAAGTTGAGAAGGTGATTCGTCAGCCTGTCCACCTTGTCCCAACCTGGAATCCCCTCCAGTCCACACTTGACTTTTATCAAAAGAAAAAATAAATCATTATACATCATCATCAAAAGCGATAAGGAATCATTTTGTTAAGACTGCCTGTTTAGTAACAAGCTAAGGCTAACTCCATAACAAAAGGCAACTTGCATTCATGTATGCCTGTCTAAAAACACTTAGATGTCATCAGTTCAATATGTCAGCTGCTGATGCTTTACCAAAATTTTGTGTGTCATGAAGTGAATTATTATTAAAATATTTCATTTAATTTCATTTGTATAACCTAACAACTGTTTCAAACCGTAGGCAAAGCAAAACAGTTATATTATCTATTCTTACCAAGAGACTAGACCAGCTTTCCTGTTCTTCCTCTGGGAGACTAGACCGGCTTTCCTGTTCTTCCTCCGGGATGGGAAACTGTAGGATTAAAAAAAAACATTTGTGGACCTAAAGCATCTTGATATTATTTCAATAATATTATTTCAATATCTATTTAGTGGAAAACACCATTTTTCAGTGTAGCTTTCATATACCAAGACAGTTTGATAAGATTATTTTCACAAAAACAATTAGTAAGGTAACTGTTAACAAAAGAAGTTGTATTTATCTATTCTTACCAAGAGACTAGACCGGCTTTCCTGTTCTTCCTCCGGGATGGGAAACTGAAGGATTAAAAAAAAACCATTTGTGGACCTAAAGCATCTTGATATTATTTCAATAATATTATTTCAATATCTATTTAGTGGAAAACACCATTTTTCAGTGTAGCTTTCACATACCAAGACAGCTTGATAAGATTATTTTCACAAATACAATTAGTTGGGTAACTGTTAACAAAAGAAGTTGTATTTATCTATTCTTACCAAGAGACTAGACCGGCTTTCCTGTTCTTCCTCCAGGATGGGAAACTGGAGGATTGAAAAAATAAACATCAGGGACCTAAAGCATTTTGATATTATTTCAATAATATTATTTCAATATCTATTTGGTGGAAAACACAATTTTTCTTTAGTGTAGCTTTCATATACCAAGAGACAGTTTGATACGATTATTTTCGCAAATACAATTAGTTGGGTAACTGTTAACAAAAAAAGTTGTATTTATCTATTCTTACCAAGAGACTAGACCACTTTGAGCACACGCCCAAACACTGATGTCAGCTGCCCCTTTACATACTCAATCCTGTCAAGGGCATCATTCCTCAAACAGGTCACTAGCCAGTGGGCATCATGCATCTGAGGGGGTGGTGGAAGAGGACCATAAGCAGCTGGCCTAGCATACTGCAAGATCCCTGTTGTGGCCAAACTAATGTGCTGCTTGCAGTCACTAAGGTACATGATGGCCTTCCTCATCCATTCTTCAGAGTGGAGCTCTTGAAGGGTGTTCTGTAGTTGATTAGAACTGTTTCCCAGAGTCCGTGATCTCAGAAGTTTGACAACCTTTTTGTCAATGGCCAGCTTCTGGGTCAAAATAGCTGGAAAAATCAATCGGTGCCCTTCATCCAACTGGCTCAGGATAACATCTGACCACCCCATGGTGGTCATTTGGGGGATACACTGTACACATTCACAATACTCAGTCATCAAATAATATTTACAATCCACATCTACCACTTCTCGCAGCCTGTTGTAAATGCCCTTTCTGGTGAGCCTACTGCCGCAGCGGTTGCACTTAAGTGGGATCTGGAACATTCGCCCCAGTGACCAAACAAACATCTTTTGCAAAAAAGTATGAGTCTGGATTAGGTGCACCGTAATTTCGGGGTGACAGAAGAGGAGGCTGTGGTGGGTGCTGCCAACAGTCTAGTTGATCAATTCTGATCACACCCGTGGACGTGTACAACCTGTCAGATATCCACCCCATATCTCTGGCAGCCATAACGTTTTTCCAGTACTTGGGAAGAAAGTGCTCCTTGCTTGTTGTCTGAGCCTGTTGATGTAAAATATCTTCATACATTTTGAGAGAAAGCAAAAGTAATGTGCAGTCTTAAGAAAAAATTAACAAAACTTGGAAAATTGCATTCAGAGTATATTATATTGTATAACCATTGTTACCAAGTTAATTCTTTTAAATTTGATTAATGTTACTTAATAATAAGATGAAAACTCCAGAAAAATACACTACACATGTTTCCTATGGTTAAAAAATGCTTTAACTTTTCTCTTATAGAATAAGTACATACTCTTTCAAGTTCAATTGTGGGTCTTAGGGGAGGTTCTGCTGAAGGGGGGATTTCTCTGGACAGATCCTAAAAAAAAAAAAAAAAAGAAAATTAAAAATACAATTTGATTTACAATAAGGCTAGTGCCACATGGGAATGGATGCAAGCTTTTTCACAAGCTAAAATAAAAATTCACTTCGGTGTGATTTTTTAATGCAAAGTTTACAATGTTTACTCCTGTTCTGTAACTCTTAAAACTATGCTGATTTTCAAGAATATTTTCAAAGTAAACTGCTTTGAGCAATGCTAACCTGATATGTCACAATTCTTCAACTACAAAAGCAGGGATGAGGAATGATTCTAAAGAAGACTATGCTATTCAACCTTCAAACCACTTGGCTGATTTTTAACTAGTTATTTCCATTTACCTCAGAAATGCAAGAGCTTCCTGAGCTGACATCTGGGGCATCTCGACCAGATTGAAGGAAAAAACTTATAATCTATAGAAAAAAGAATTTCAAACTAAAATGAAAGAGCAATGCTACAAGAATATATCTTACAACACCTTATCCTAGAAAATCAGGTAAACTCCTATAAAAAATAGCACTGTGCTTCTAAATCATCTTCGTCTTAATTGTTGATAAACTTAGTTAATTTTAATTCAATTTACCTGTGCAACACGAGAGACTCCTGAACTGACACCTGGGACATCTCTAGGCTGTGAGCTGACATGTGGGACGTCTCGACCAGAACTGACACCTGGGACATCTCTGGGCTGTGAGCTGACATGGGGGACATCTCGGCTAGAAGTGACACCTGGGACATCTCTGGGCTGTGAACTGACATGGGGGACATCTCGGCTAGAAGTGACACCTGGGACATCTCTGGGCTGTGAACTGACATGGGGGACATCTCGGCTAGAAGTGACACCTGGGACATCTCTGCCAGACTGAAGTAAAAAACATATTTTATGCTTTAACATTAAACAAAAGAACAGAAGTACGTAGACATCTGACAAGATCATACAATATTTTGTCATAGACAATGATAAATGATTTTCTGTTCTTAATTCCTCTCAGTGTACATGATATTGGTATTTCTTATTAATTATAATATTTAAAATACAAATAATAAATATAGTGTTTAAAGAACATCATATGTATCTGTGATAAGACAGTATCACTTTATAAAGTCATTTTATTTTATCAGTATACCAAAATAATATTTATGGTTCTCATGGTCCATAAAACTGCCATAATTTTTTGAGGCAGAGGGATTATTGCATTAACAGAGATAATAAAACACTTAACAGACACTAAATAGCACAAGTTCTAGAAAGTCAAGCACTCAATTGCATTACCTGTTCCTCTACCACTGTAGGCTGCTCCTGTAATGCTGTTTCTTCTGGAATCTGCAAAAAATAAGTTGACAGTAAAATAGTTGAAAGTTGTTGTTTGCTTTTCAATGTATTAGAAGTTTCTAAAGGAATAATACATGTAGTTACATCTGAAAATCTAATTTATTTAATATGAAGACAGAAACAAGGTTATAAATCAAATATCAAACAAACCATCTATGTAGAAAATAATCGTCATTCATCTTACCTGTAATAATTTTCTTCTTGATGGGATATTCGGTATGGCAGCTCCACTTCTACGTCCACCAAATCTTGGAGATAAAGGTTTCCCATATTTTAGTGCTAACTGTACAGCCTTTCAAACAAAGTAAAGCAAAAAAGCATGATGAGCACCATTCCTCAATCAAATTTTTATTTATTACTTATAATTTTTCAGCTTGCAATTTGTGTGAAAAAAAAAAAAAACAGCAGAGAACTGATATTTCACTGAAGGGCACACGCAAGGAAACTGCCTATCACATAACAAATATTATTGAAACAGACATACATTATTTTTGATAATGCAAGGTTTAAGTGAAAAATAGCATTTGAAACATATAATGGAAATAAGACACCATCATTCACAAAATTCAGAGGACTTGCAGATTTCCTGTAATGCCATTCCTTTGGACTTTTATTTGTTCAAACATTCTTCCCATGTCTGTAGTAGGTGTAATCATTCTTAAATCATCTACTTAATGTTAACCATATAATTACCTTTAAATAAGAACTCATTTACACTTGAGCCAACTTACTTGTGCAACTGGAGAGCTTCCTGGAGTGACACCTGGGACGTCTCGACCAGACTGAAGAAAAAAAGTATTCAATGCTTTTAACTTAAACTAAAGACCAATGTGACAAGAATATCTTATAAAACACTTTGTACTTTCTCCTCTCCCTATAAGTAGCATGCCTTGTGCATCAAATTATTTTGCCAATAAACAACTCTATTTTACATGAGCAACATAAGACCATTCTGAACTGACACTCGGGGCATCTATGTGACTTAAACTGAGACCTGGAACATCTCTGCAGCCTGAACTGGAACTTGGAACATCTCTCTGGCCTAAACTGACACTTGGAACATCTCTTCGGCCTAGACTGACACTTGGAACTTCTCTCTGGCCTGAACTGACACTTGGAACATCTCTCTGGCCTGAACTGACACTTGGAACATCTCTCTGGCCTGAACTGACACTTGGATCATCTCTACCAGAGTGAAGGAAAAAACAACATTATTTAATCCTTGGCATATGCAAGAATGCTATCTTTTTTTCTATGAAACTAAAGAATGTAACAAGACCATACTGTCCAATATTTTGGCCTATTAAATGCTATTTTTATATTTTTCAACTTTCTATAAGTAGTACTGAGCAACTAATTTTCATTGTTAATTAACCCACAGTTAATTAAAATTATTTCATTTACCTGAGCAATAGGAGAGACTCCTGAACTTACTCTTGGGACATCTCTTCCAGACTGAAAAATTAATGATTAAATTATATTAAAATGCAATTTTAAAGTAAAATTTCATAGCAGTACTACAAGAACTTATCTCAAATTCCTTATACTAGAATATCAATGATTTATTTGTCGAAGCACCAAAATTCTAATTATTCTGCTAATAAACTAATATTATAAAATATAACTCATTCTATTTTACCTGAGCAGCAGGTGAGCTTACTCTACTGGAACTTGGCACATCTCTTTGGCCTGAACTGGCACTTGGCACATCAGTTTGGGACTAGTTAAGTAAAAAAAAAAAAAAAAAAAAAAAACTTGTTTCATTAGGTTTTACTGATAGCATGTGAAAAGTGGACATAAAAAGGAAATTTGCACAGTATTCCTATATGTTTATTCTAATTCCTATTTATAATTCATTGTTTTATTCACACAATTGTAAAAAAAATTAATTCTTGATAATTAATATATTTTAGTAAAGCACTGATTGTTTTATAGTACAAGATGTTCCTATCAAACAGCAAATTGTAATTGATTTAAATATTTAATAAAAAAAAATATGTCAATATATCCTCCCAAATTCATTCTGGACCTTATTCTTTAATTTTTTTTACAGAAACAACAAGCACCAAAAGAAAAAAACAATATATATATATATATATATATATATATATATATATATATATATATATATATATATATAACACGGTAGTTGCATCGTGGTATTGCTTAGTTCAGTCAATACACACCTAGTTTTGAAAAAATTAAACATTTTAATTACTTTGAGGCAGCATCTATGCATGTGTAGTGAAGGTTGCTCACTGGTGCACTGCGGAGACCTCAAATCATTCAAGTTTTTTTATGAAAAGAAAATATATTTCTGACATGACATTCTTAATCATCTAAGAATATTTTTATAAAGGCAACAGAAAATTGAAACTACAAATAAAGCTTTTTTATGGTTTTCAAAAAAGTGATGATGAAGATAAGCAGCCCGCATCCTTGTGAGAAATTCCTAGGAGAGGGTCACCTGATCCGCCGTTCTATAAAGTCTAACATGTTTTATATGTCTTTAAGATCAGTATGTGCGCGTCAGCATGCTCTGTAAATGTGCCTTTATCTCGTTATTGACGATGTTGCGTAATTCGTTATCAGGACACTTCACCATATTATCATAATGTCCGTTGTGACAGGAATGGAAGTTCGCTAGGAACCGCAGCCCGCTTCCCATTATATTCTAACCCCAATACCCAGTATTCTAACCCTAACCTGTACTAATCATATGGGAGCCCGTACTAATCATATGGGTCATGTACCAGAGAGTCCCCGTGAAAAAGAGTCCGCTTCACATTACTTTGTACAGGTGAGCCTCGCCCTAGATTTTGACCCACTTAGGTCAGACTAACCCTAACCATTATAACTATATGGAGGGCGGACTTTCTGTCACACGGACCTTCAGTTTCGTGACACCGGACATCCAATCCTAGGACTATCATTCCTGTCACACAGGCAGGGATGTTATGTAAGAATAAATCAGTATCGGGATTCATGTGCACTTTCTAAATTCTTTGATATTACCATTCCTTCCAACAGTGGGAACAAAAATAATGTTATAAAAGTGCAGCGTCGATTATTAGTGGAAGTTGCTAAACGAAGAGAGAACAACGCCCTGATATGAGACGCTTGCACCACGCCACATTGCCTAACCACGTGACCTCTTTCCAGTTTTGCTTGCGGGACGAGGTCGCGTCTTATCTAACCTCCATTGTTCATGAGCAGCGTTCAGCACTGCAAATATTTCATTTAATCAAACTATACTGAGTATTTATCGAAATGATACAACAGAATTAACAATAAACATTCCATTATCGCATAATGACATAAAGGCTGGGTTCCCATACTTAGATCGATCCATCTGGATCGACCTAGCTCCCTGGGGGTTCACGAGAAATTGCTATCAGCTCAAGAGGTTTCAATGTCTGTGACGCCTACCGAATCAGCTGGGTGTAAAGATAATTACCCCCTAACACCTTTACTAGGCGTGACACACATTTAAACGGGCCAAATTGACAGCAATTTAGCGAGACTCCCTAGGGAGACAGATCGATCCAAATATCCGTGGGAATGGTCTCAAAGACACTCACTCTGACACTACCCACAGATCTTTTCATATGGGCGCCTAATCCGTTTATATAAGGCCTGGCACTGTACAGGAGATATTGACATGTATATGTTGAATTTTCATTTAAAGACCTGAAATCGTATCTATAACTGGGTTCCCATGACTAGATCGATCTCCAAGGGGTTTTTCATTAAATTGCTTTCAGCTTCATCGGCATAGATGTCTGTCACGCCTACTCAAGTTGCTAAATGATGGTTAATTAACCACTAGCGGCATCAGTAGGCGTGGCAGACATTTAAGCCACTAAGCTGATAGAAATTTAGCGAGAATCCCCTCTGAGATAGATAGATCCACACTTAGTACGATATGGTCTGGGAATGGTCCCTTTTTGCCCCCCTCATAACAGAGATATGGTATCTAATCACTGCATATTTAGGCTGATAATGTGGCTTACCGCTGGTCAGTGTTATTCAGGAGCTTAATTCCCTAAAACACGAGCTTTCAATCAATTATGTTATACGTGCATATTACCGATAAAAACATTGATATAATATGGAGCAGTCCAGAGATATTTTCTGACAGTCTTCCAAATTTTCTTTGTTGATCAGTCCTCCACTTTTGACCGTCTTCCAACAGAAAAAATAGTTACCGTCAATGTAAACTTGAAAATCTGACCGTCTTCCGGAAGACCCAGACAGCCTCAATCCGCCCCTGCGTCAAGAGAGCTGTACCCTTCTGCGCTGACAAAATTTTCCATTTATAATTTTATTTCCTTTCCTGTCCTTAATAAGGGGCTTTGATTACTTGTAATAAGGCCTACACACTATGGACTATGATCGTTAAAAGGGTGACTCTATTCTTTTTTAACTGACAAGTGTTTTGACAAGAGTGAAATGAAAACATCAATGTAGCTGACGCTATAAAACTATCCACTGATGTAGGTATACGACCAAAAAGGTAAAACATCCGAAATTTTAAAGTAAAATATCATACTAACATTTTAAGGAAGTTCTACAACTTTTCACATGCGACAGCTGACATGCTCTCTCTCTCTCTCTCTCTCTCTCTCTCTCTCTCTCTCTCTCTCTTACTACCTGGTCGCCGTAAGGACTAGGGTCAGTGGTACTCTGCATACACGTTGCACCGAAAGCGGTGGTCTCCTTAACTCCAGTCCAGTTAGAGGGCGGCTGTGGTTTCAGAAACCTCAGAGCTCCTACAGGTGGTTTAGCAAAAGGAATGCCTAAAAACCGATTCACAGACTGTCCCTCTACTGTCGTCCCAATTCCTTGTATTACACCGTTTGTCGTGGAAACTTGAGGTTGGGCCGCCACAGCATATATGACAGATAATGTCAGGAGAGTTTTGACAGTCAGAACCGATGTTGACGCCATGCTTTTACGCTTCTTAAACCTGCCAGTCCAACAACTCTAACACCTAGGAAGTAAATGTTTACCCTGCCAGGGATTATTTAACCGCGCAGTGGCGACAGGATTACTCATCTCCTCCTAGAAGCCTCGTCATCGACAGTCAGTCATGGGTATGTAGCAACAAGAATGTGCACGCGCCGCGTACGGTTGTCGTAGTGGAGAAAATTGCTCAACAAACGTAATTAGACGCACTGCTGGAAGAAATGTGACTTTGAAAATCTCCCAAAGAAAAATGTCATTTCGTCCAAAATTGCACAGTTTTAATGAACTTTAACTAAATAACCCAGCAGAGTGCCATTATATATGATGTATTATGAAACATTCTCTAAACATAAGCAGTGAAATCCTTTCCAACACTTGCTGAAAACCGTCAGATTCTTATCAAATTATTACTCACAGATACATTGAAGTATATGTAGTATTTTGTTATAAATATTCCCCGATTACATCACGTTAAGTTCGAAATCTTCACTAATTTATGCTAAATCACCGTGTGTATCAGGTCACGGAATACTGCCTTTCAAAATATTTGTACACTTGACAACATCGCTACAATAGTTTTTACATGGAATTTTTTTTTGTGATCTTAGACCTTTTATTTATTCCAAATAACATTCATCTGTCTTGTAGGACTGAGTAAATGGTCGCAAGCAGGTTTACGTTACGCTTTAATAATGAGGCCTTTTGCACGTTATACTGGGCCCATATGTGGCACTGTTGCTTAATTACAGGGTACATGTACATGTATGTGATACTTTTGATACCACAATTCATCTACAGTTTTTTTTTATCAAATTGCAAATCGATATAAACGGATTTACAAGTAACAATGAATTTGTCTGTATAGCTATATTTGTAAAGTTATTCACAGTTTTGTTGTGTCAGACTGTTAATTCCTACTGAAATATCAAAACCAAAGGGGAGTCCAAACCAAATTCTGGCCTACAAGGCTGAGGGTTAAGTTTCCATATAATAATTACGGGACCGCCGTAAAACGGCATACAGGAGCGTGACGCAAAATGATTCATGCCCCGGGTGAGGATCGAAATCACGACCTTCAGATTACTCTACTTCATTGATTATGAGACTGACGCGCTGCCTACTGCAAAGCGGGGGCATAAAGTACTCGGTCGGGGTGGGGGGGGGTTGGGGGTGGGGGGCGGGGGGGGGGGTAAAGAAGGGGGAAAGGGAAAATAAACTAACACTGGTTCAAATCCTAGTAATGGAATTCTTTTTTTTTTTTTCTTTCAGTTATGGAATTTCTCGGTTTTTTGTTTTTAATACACATCATTTATAAATATTTCTCAAGATTAAAAGAATTAGATATAAAAAAACAGATACATACATACATTACAAGAAAAAAATGGAGATATGATTTATGCATTTTTTAAATCCTAGAAATGCAATTCTCCTTTTCTTGCACTTTTGAAATTTCTCAATTTTTGTCTGTTTAATATGCATCATTTATAAATTTTTACCAAGATTTAAAAAATTAGATATAAAAATACAAATACAAACATACATACAAAGAAAAAAATAGAGATATGATTGATGATTTTTTATCCTAGAAATGCAGTATTTTTTTTCTTTCAATTTTGAAATTTCTGGATTTTTTTTTTTTTTTTTTTTTTTTTTTGTATTTAATACACATTATTTGTAAATTTTTTCCAAGATTAAAAAAATTAGGTCATATTTCTAGATTTCTAATAATTTTTAAAGGGATTTTGGTTTTGATA